TGTTTCTAATGTCTCTGTAAAGCACTTTGAATCACCTTGTTGTTGAATTGTGCTATACAAATAAATTTGCCTTGCCTTGCCTTGCCTTACTCTGAGCAGTGGTCAGGGTCCAGGGTTTGAGTGACGGGGCTCTGTCCACTCAGACTGGCCTCACAACTCAGTGAGCCCGCCTTCCTCCACTGGTCTGCAGAGAGGCTCAGGGTGCTGCTCCAGCTGTAGTGACCATCTGTCCCCAAGACTTCCAGGCTGGTTGAAACCCCTGAGGATGTGCTGGTGCCCCCCACTGGCACTACTCTGTTTGTCTTCATCTTTGGATGGAGGGAGGACAGTGAGGGTGGGTCTCACCACACCCACTGGAGGAGAGAGAGGGGAGAAGAGCAACCAAAGACATAAGAATGAAAGCAGGAAAGAAATACCTACATGGTGTTTAATCATTGTTGATTGATGAATATTATTATTTCTTTAATGTTTTACAGTAAATAGCTCATCTATGTGATAATTTTCAATGTCACACTCACAGAGTTGAAACACTCATGTACAGTTTAAACTTTGTCATCTGCTTCTTTCACTTCCTTTAAACTACAAGTACAATCAATCATCCATGAACTCAAAGCTGGTCTGTGTTTACTGACACTTTTTTGTTTTTGGGGAAATCCATAAATTAATGCCTAAAAAAGTTATTTTCAAAATAAAACAATAAAGAAATAGATCAACAAACACCATATTTCACAATTAAAGCTTGAAAATAACCAAACCTGAAATATTTTAACTGGAAAATACTTAAAATATATTAATTAACATTTCAGAGAACCCTAAAAATGAAAAGGGAGCAAAACAGTTTTTGTTTTTTGTGCTTTATAAAATAAACTCTGATTATTTGAGTTGTGATCTTGGGCAAGTTTTTTTGCAGACTGTGAGATCAACATTGTTTTATAAATAATGAAAATGATCAACAACGGTCACCGAACTTGATATTAAAATTTTATAAAAATGCTTATAAAATGTTTTGTAAATTATAGTAGTTGTGGAAAGTAAATGAAGGAAATTTCCGTCCCCGGTTTCCTCCAAGGCGTGAGCGATAAGCAGAGTTTTGTCCTTTCCTTATAATACTCCTAATTATTCAAAGCAACACTCAGGTATGCCATTCAGCTGGGTTAGTTACGACGTCGGGAGCAGTTAGGAGAACAAAGTGATACAGAGACTGTTCAGGTTGCTTTCCCAAAATCAACTCAAAGGTTTATTCATCAGACAACAGTATATATAGAGGAAAAAGAGGTTCGTGTGTCAGCAGGTTCTCAGATCAAACCGGTACAGACTAAATAAGGAAACGTCTTCCTGCCTTCTGAGCAAAGAAGTATCCTTTGTGTAGTTTATCAGTTCAGCTACAATTTATGATCATCCCAGCAAAATACACTCCTAGACATAGAATACAGAGTTCTTCATTAGTGAATTCTGAAACAAACCACCTGGCCTTTAACAAGCTCTTTTCTAAAGAATAAGGAAGGGAGGATGGGAGTAAGGAAGTGGTCTCGTCTCTGTGGTGTTTTCGACCTTGGGGTACCAGCCTGTGAGTCTTACACATCAATTCTTGGGTCAGAGAGAAAGAGAAAAACAACTAGTAAATGGCTCTTATTAAGTAACAGTTTTCCTGTATAATATCACTATAAAACAATATCCTGTAAATGCTACCATGGTATCAAAATATCACAACATATATGGTCCCCACTTTGGATGGGTTCACTCAAGATACTTTACTAACAAATAGCAAATGGTTTGTAACTTTCTAAATAAGTTTATTAAGGTATTTATGCGTATTTATAGATAATCACCACATATTTTCTTTTGCTTATATTTGGCTTCTTTATTTATGAATATTTAATTAAACTTTTTATGATCCCAGCAATGTAGTTCTTCAGTTTTGTTTAGATACATTGTGTTTGTGTTTGATGGACCAGTTTTTTTCATTGTAGTCTGTCACTCTGCACCTGCAGCCTTCAGCCAGACTGAAGGAGGTTTTTGTACAGCTCTAAATCACTGTGTGAACACTCCACCACCATGGGCACCCAGACAGTAATAATCTCCAGCATCTTCAGCCTGAACACCACTGATGGTTAAAGTGTACTGAGAACCAGATCTGCTGCCACTGAATCGAGACGGAGTTCCTGAGAAGAGACTTGATGTTGAGAATATAAGCAGTTTGGGGGTCTCTCCATTTGTCTGAAGGTACCAACTGAGATCAGCACCAATGTTTGAACTCCCTGTGGCGCTGATGGTCACAGTCCCACCAAGACTGACAGACTTGGCTTTATCAGTCTGAGTCAGAAAATTATTGGCAAATGACTCTGAAATTAAGAATAAAATGACAAGTTTGTTTTTTAGACACAAGCATAAAAACAGAAGAGAAGATGTAATCAAATATAATATAATCTTTGTCTTATATGTAAGAATCTCTCACCCTGACTCAGAAAGCCTAACAAAAGAACCACAAACATTGGAAACACCATCCTGACTCAGTTTTCAGTGGAAGTGAATGAGAGCATGTGTGACAGCAGAACTTAAACTGTGAGGAGCAGTGATGCATGAAAGTGTGCAAAACACACTGTAGGAGGAAACCACCCACCTCTCCCAATGAAACAGAAAACACAGAGGTCGTGTGAGGAGAGGATCGTTCAACTTTTCATTATATTTGCTCATTAACAGCTGCATGGTTCCCCTACTGTCATACATCTGACCCTAAAGACACTGATTGATTTTGATTATTCTGACAAATTGGATCTACATTTATTTTGAAAAACAGAAACATATGAATAACTGTTTAAAGGAATTTATTTCATCCTCTGACTAGTTTAGTCCTGTACAGTTCTGTAAAACCTTGAGAAAAGGGGGTTATGCTCCATAGTTACCATAACATAAGCCAGGTATTTAAACCATGTACAGATGAACTGTATCTTTTCTAAAATAAAAAACCTGATCTTCTCTCATTCTCTTTTCTCCAAAGATGTAATGACTTTTCCTCTAATTTCCTCCACGCAGCTATTTTTTTCTCAGACTTTATTGCCGTTACTTTGATGACCTCAACTTTTTCTGAGAAAGATTGAGTAACAAATTGTAATAGTTCATATGCTTGTTATAACACAATCTTCGGTTTCAGATGCAATTCCTTAAAATAACTGCATTATTATTGCATTAGTATGATGTTGTTGGCATTTTGCTCAAACCTCACAGAGCTGTTTGATTTTAAACTCATTAGATAGTAATTATTGAAGCTGAAAAAGACCGAATCCTCAGACTGTTAGGTAAAACGTGTTTTTCTTTAACATACTAACTACTAATTTTAGCAGGTTGTATATGTATACACTTATAAAGTCAGGTCTCTGTCTATGGTATGAAATTAATCTAATCCCCCCAAAAAATATCAGTATTCTGGAGTTTATATTACCTCGTGCTTTGGTGCTTTAGATTCTGTAGACAACCTTTGTTTCTGTAGAAGGAAACTGTTTGCATAACTGAAAAAAGGAGCACAAATCTCAATTTCACTACCCCTTAATAAGTATCAAGGAGTTTCTGTTTAACAGTGCTGTCTCTAATCTCCTCCAAGAGATCATCGCTGCAGCACATCAGTCCCTAGTTTAATTTGATATTAGTATAACTAATGTGCTTGTTCTCACACATATGTTTCAACACAGCAGTAATTTAGATCTTCATAAGTTCAGAGTTGAGGTAATTACAAATTTCTGTGCTGGCTGTGCAGCTCAGAGAGACGGCCTTATACACTTATAGACAGCTGTCCACCCAGCAAAATATTAAAAATTGTCATTTTACAGAAGGGCAAAAATTTCTATATGATACTGAAACTATAGAAAACTATTTTGCATCAAGGGTGTGTGACAGATGTTCAAATTAATGCATGGGTCAGTGAGCACACACCTGCACCAATGGAGTCTGGGTGGAAATTGTACATTGCTGCTGTACAAATAGCAGTGGATGTCAAAATAAGAGAATACACATAAAATTGACTCTGATACACAGATCCAAAAAGCAGACTCGACATCGATGCGGGGTTCCTTTGTTTCCTTCTGGTAGAGTGTAATAAAAAAATAATATTTTCTGTTTGTACATGTTTTGTCTGTCTATGCCTCAGTTGTCATTTTGTGCCTTTTGCATTCGATGTATTTCTTTATAGTTTGTTTTCATACATTGGTTTGTTTGGTTATTTGTTTTTAATTGTGGGCTTTTTGTGGTTATTTCATATTTTGGAATTTTTTGTCATGTATTCATTGTTGATTTTTTTCCTGGTTCACACTTTTGTTTATTTTCCTTACACTGACTTGCTGTGAACACCATTTGTGGTAAGTTATTCAAAGGTCAAAACACACTGGCACCCTTAAAATGACTGTTAGCATTTTTAACGATACAAATTTAACCATGATACACACTGACCAAGACACAAATCTCCTTATACAGTTTTACATCATTTTGATCTTTTTTGTTTTTTTATACATGATTTTCTGCTTTTTATGTTTATTTCAAATGTCATATTCTGAGCATTTTTGTTGTCATATCTTTTTTTTTCCTTTTAATATATTTGCACATATTTTTGTATTTAATTTTACATACATACAACAACTATTTTTCTACATTTTCTATATTACAGTCTTATTCTGAGGAAAGGTACAGAAAAATGTCTGCAGCACTAAAGGTCCCAAAGAGCACAGTGGCCTCCATTATCTATATATTAAAGAATTGAAACAATCATGACTCTTTCAGACATCAGGGCAGAAGGGCCTTAGACAGTGAGCTGACCAAGAATGCAATGATAGTATCTCCTCAGTAAAAGGCACCTGAAGGACTCTCAGACCGTGAGAAAAAAAATTCTCTGCTCTGATGAAACAACAAACTTTTTGACCTGAATTCCAAACATGATGTGTGGAGGAAATTTGGCACAACTCACCACCTGACCAATGCCCTTCCTACAGTCAAGCATGGAGGTGCCTGCATCATGCTGTGGGGATGTCTTTTGGCAGAAGGAACTGGACTAGTCAGGGCTCAACAGCTGAATGTGAGTGTGCTTCATAACTGTCACATTGATTTTTGCTAATCAAGCTTGTCACTATCAGTTATATTAAAAAGTGTTTGATCTTTTGTTAGAGGGATGCTAATGACTTCAACTGTTGTTAGAATCAAATTTGAATACAGGCGATATTACACACAAGTAAAGAAAAAGAAGAGATATTTTGGCCATAATCAATAAACCTGAATTAGATGCTGTGAAAATTTAACATTTACAAAACTAATAATTTAAACAGAAATCATATAACTAACCAGCCAAGTTTTGATTTTCTTTTCAGAAAATGTGTGCAGAACATGACATTGTGTAATCTTGCTGAAAATGCCCCCAACAGATATGTAATATCTTAATTTAATGTTGTATTTAGTGCTTGGTGAGGTTACTGTCAGCTCTGTGTTCACTGGTCTGTGTCACAGTTTCTTCCTTTTTAGCAGCTGCAGTCAGTTCCTGCTGTAACAGCTCAGTGTCTCTGCAGTCTGACTGAGGGAGGTTTTTGTACGACTACAAATCACTGTGTGAACACATCAGCACTGTTTATTTCATGTAAACTCTGACAGTAGTAAACTGCTGCATCTTCAGCCTGAACTCCACTGATGGTCATAGAGAAGTCAGAGCTGCTTCCACTGCCACTAAATCGAGATGGTGTTCCTGACTGAAGCTTTTTTGCGTATATTATTAGGAGCTTTGGAGTCTGTTCAGACTTCTGCTGATACCAGAATACATAATCATCATCATCAGAATCTCTGTAAACAGCTTGGTTGGTCCTACAGGTCAGAGTCACAGTGGATCCAGGAGTAGATGTCACTACTGGAGGTTGAGTCACAGTCACCTGACCGCTGCATCCTGCAGACAGAAACAAATCATTCATTTATCAGCAGAAATCAATGAGAGAAAAAGCAGCACATCATGTTTGAAATGTTGCTGAGTGAATGAACCTGTAAAACAGCAGCAGGTCAGCGTCCAGATGAGGATGGTGATGAGAGTCATGGTGGTTGTGCTTTCTGCTGTGTTGACTGACAGATGTGAGTCCTGCAGTGTTGAAGTCACAGGACTATAAACCTTCTCAGTTCTCTGGAGGATCAGCTGATGATGCAAAGCCTCCTCTCTATGGAAATCATTTCTCTGCGCTCAACACACTGAAGGCAACGAGGGGCACAAAGTCAGAAGACAAAATTGTTTGGATTAATACTTTTATACATAAAACTTGAATGATACCACTGATGTCTTATGGAATAGAGTAAAATATACAGAAAATATAATTCAGCATTTTTAATATCTGGATCAAAACAGCACTTTGGTTGGTAAGCTTACTTCATACTTTTGGTAACACACATTACGCCTCTATTGCTGTCCACAGTATATCGCCAAAATCTCATAATTCATGCTTTAGAAGCATTTTAGTTTCTGTGTTTTTCTTTTTTCTTTTTGCTGATATAGCTTTATTTCATTTGACAATCTTTTGTCTTTCAATTGGTAATAGTCCAAATAAAATTATGAAAATGACTAAAAATCATCAACAAATTTAAGTTATTTTTTCTTAAATCATTCTATCCATTTAATGAGGTTTAAACTGTGATGATTTACTTGAGAAAAGGTTCATTTTCAGCAGTTAGACACTTGTTCAGCGTGCAGAAGGTTTTTGTACGGCCACTTAATGAGTTTGTATCACTGTGGTGGACTTTTGGTGGAGGAACCAAACTCATCGTTGACTGTAAGTATGAAAAACGTTTACTTTGTGCAGTCCATGGTAGCTCTTTAAAAGAAATTACTGAACAGAACATTCCTAAAATTATGTCATTATTGTTAATCATTTTAACTATTAAGGTGGAATTAGAATAAACTTCACAGAGATCAACATTTATTCAGTCTTTAAAAAAATGTTTTAATTTGCTGAAAACAAAATTATTTTTGTTATTATTTGTTCTTCTATAATCATTTTACAGTTAAATATTTAAAACTAAGGTTTGGTGATAGTGAAGTTGTTCCTCCCTAAATATGACTGTTTGATTTAAATTTTCTTTTCACTTATGAATTTTAAAAGTAAGTATTTAAGTATAAGTATATAAGTGTGAATTTCTCTTGTGGACATTATTTTTTCGGTGTATTCAGATCAGTTTTGTCTTTGTGGTTCAATTATTTTACATTTAAAGAAGTGAAAGAAACAGATGTGACATTTGAACCATATTCACGTGATTCAGCTGAAAGTCAGAAAAGTATCCTACAGATCAGTTATTGACTGTAACAGTGATGTTTTTTATCAACAATTACTGTCACTTTTTCAGATGTGTTTACCAGGTTTCATTCCTTTCTTCTTTATCTTCTTCCCCCCTCTTCTCCACCTTTTCTCCTCCAGTGGGTGTGGTGAAGCCCACTCTGACCGTGCTCCCACACCAGAGCAGTGCCACTCTGGTGTGTCTGGCCAGTGGGGGTTTTCCGTCAAATTGGAAGCTGGGCTGGAAGCTGGGGGGC